ATGTAATACATTCTGCAAAAGATGATGTAATTTTCTTACATTGTTTGCCATCTTTTCATGATATTAATACAAAAATTGGTAAAGATATTTATGATAAATTTGGTTTGACTTCAATGGAAGTTTCAGATAAAGTATTTAGATCAAAACATTCATTTGTTTTTCAACAAGCAGAAAATAGATTACATACTATTAAAGCAGTAATGGTTGCAACAATTGGTAATTAGTTTGTTTTATTTTTAAAAAAACATTAAAAGAGCAAAAAACTTTTTTGCTCTTTTTTTTAAAAAATATTTTTATTTTTTATTTTATTTTATTTTATTTTTTTTTTTTTTTTTTAAATTTTTTTTGTATGGAAAATATATAAAAAGATAATATAGACATAGATTTTTTAAAATATTAATTTTATAATTTAAAAATTTGATAAAATTTTTTTAGTTATATATTAATATTTATAAAATATATAAAAAAAGAAGGAAAGGTGAAAAAGAAAAAATATGAAAAATGTTATTAATGTATTTTCTGAAATTGGAAAATTACGTTCAGTATTAGTTCATAGACCAGGTAAAGAAGTTGAAAACTTAACTCCTGATTTATTAGAGAGGTTGTTATTTGATGATATTCCTTATTTGAAACTAGCACAAGAAGAACATGATGCATTTACAGATGCAATGAGAAAAGAAGGGGTGGAAGTGTTATATGTTGAAAAACTTGTAGCAGAAGCATTAGATGCTAACCCTGATTATAAAGAAGAATTTATTAAAAAATTCTTAGAAGAAGGTGACATTCAACCTAGTCATTTAAAAGCATTAGAAAGTCATTTAAGAAGTTTAAGTACACAAGATATGGTTAATGCTATGATTGGTGGAATTGAAACTAGTGAAATTGGTGTGGAAATGGTGGATAATTATCCATTTGCATGTGATCCATTACCAAATGTTTTATTTCAAAGAGATGCATTTGCTTCAGTTGGTTGTGGTGTAACATTACATACAATGGCAAATAAAACAAGACAAAGAGAGACTTTGTTTGCTGAAGCATTTTTAAAATATCATCCAAGATTTAAAGATACTGGATTAAAATTCTACTTTTCAAGAGATGAAAAATATCATATTGAAGGTGGAGACATTATGGTATTAAGTGATGATGTTTTACTTGTTGGTGTAACTGAAAGAACACAAATGGAAGCTGTAAAACTTTTAGCTAAAAATATTTTTAATGATGAAGAAACAACTTTCAAAAAAATTTATGCAATTGATGTTCCTAAAAAAAGAGCATATATGCATTTAGATACAGTTATGACAAATGTTGATTATGATAAATTTGTTATTCATCCAACAATTTTTGATGATATTGATCAATTTAAAATTTATGATGTAACAGAAGATGATGCTACATTAATTAATGAAGGTTTAATTGAATTCTTTACAGAATTAATTGGAAAAGAACCAGTATTTATTAAATGTGGTGGTGAATCTCCAATTGCAGCAGGAAGAGAGCAATGAAATGATGGTACTAATTGTATTACAATTAGACCAGGTGTAGTTATTGCTTATTCAAGAAACTGAGTAACTAATAAATTAATGAGAGATGCTGGAATAAAAGTTATTGAAGTTCCTTCATCTGAATTATCAAGAGGTAGAGGCGGTCCTAGATGTATGACAATGCCTATAATTAGAGATAAGAAATAATATTACAATATGGTTAATTTAAAAGGTAGAAATTTTGTAAAATTATTAGATTTTACTCCTCAAGAAATTCAATATTTATTAGATTTATCAAGAGATTTAAAAAGAGCTAAATATGCTGGAACAGAAGTACAAAGAATGAAAGGTAAAAATGTTTGTCTTTTATTTCAAAAAGATTCAACTAGAACTCGTTGTGCTTTTGAAGTAGGTGCACTTGATCAAGGAGCACATACTGTTTATTTAGGACCTTCAGGATCTCAATTTGGTAAAAAAGAATCTGTTGAAGATAGTGCAAAAGTTTTAGGTAGAATGTTTGATGGAATACAATTTCGTGGTTATGAACAAAAAGTTGTTGAAGAACTTGCAGAACATGCTGGTGTTCCGGTTTGAAATGGTTTAACAAATGAATTTCATCCAACACAAATTCTAGCAGACTTTTTAACAATTCTTGAAGAGAAAAAAACTCTAAAAGGTATTAGATTTGCATACTATGGTGATGCAAGAAACAATATGGGAAATTCTTTAATGGTAGGATGTGCAAAAATGGGAATGCATTTTGTATGTGTTGCTCCAAAAGAATTATGACCAGAAAAAGATTTAATTGATAAATGTAATGAAATTATTTCAAAAGAAGAAACAGGAGCAACATTAACATTTGAAACAGATCCTATTAAAGGTGCAAAAGGTGTAGATGTAATTTATACTGATGTTTGAGTTTCAATGGGAGAACCTGAAGAAGTTTGAAAAGAAAGAATTACACAATTAAAAGATTATCAAGTTAACATGAATGTTATTAAAGCTGCAAAAGAAGATGTAATGTTTTTACATTGTTTACCAGCTTTCCATGATTTAAATACAAAGATTGGAAAAGACATTTATGATAAATTTGGTTTAACTTCAATGGAAGTTTCTGATGATGTATTTAGGTCAAAACATTCATTTGTTTTTCAAGAAGCAGAAAACAGACTTCATACTATTAAAGCAATTATGCTTGCAACAATAGGAAGTTAATTTTTTAAAAAAGAGTAAAAAATTAACTTTTTTACTCTTTTTTTATTTATTTAAGGTTTTAAATTTTTTATTAAAAAAAATTAAAAAAAGAAGAAAGGGAAAAATGAATAGTTTAAAGAAAAAAAGAAGATTTAAACTACCACATGCATTGACATTATTATTTATAATTGCAGTGTTTTTTGGTATTTTAAGTTTAATTTTTAGTTGAGCTGGTCTTACTTTAGGTGATGGTTATAAATATATTGTTACACAAGAAACAATAGATAAATTGAAATTAGAATCTACTGGTAAAGCTTTTAAAGAACTAGTTGAAAAAAAAGATCCAAAAACAATAATTGGTTCTGAAATTGTTGTTGAAGATACTCCAATTTTAGGTTCAGGTATTATAGATTGATTTACAGCAATTCCTCTAGGTATGGTAAAAGGTATATGAATAATTATCTTTTTATTTGCACTTGGTGGTTGAATTAATGTATTGGTTAAATCTCAAGCACTTGAAGCAGTTATTGGTAGAGTTTCAAAATTGTTTCATAAAGATTTTAAAAATATTGATAAAAATTTATATGCTCAATCAAAAATTACATATTATAAAGAATTAATGAAAGAAGGGATACGTCAAACATGGATTATTATTCCATTGATGTTTTTCTTTTCATTCTGTGGTATGTCATATGGAATGGCAGAAGAATCAATAGCATTTTATGCAATTGTTATTCCACTTGCTTTAGCAGCAGGTTTTGATGTATGAACAGGATTCTTAATAATTTTTATTGGTGCTGGTGCTGGTGTTATGGGATCAATTGTTAACCCATTTTCAGTTGGTGCAGCAGTTTCTGCAGTTAATGGAGAAGAGGTAATTTTAAATGGTACAACTGAAAAATTTGCTACAAATTTATCTGATGGTATGGCATGAAGAGTTGTTGGTTGATTAGTATTTACAGCTTTTGTTACTGTATTTACAATGGTATATGCTGCAAAAGTAAAAATTAATAAAGAAAATTCAAAAACAAAAACTTTATTTGCAATGCATAAAGAAATGTTTAGTGTTAAAACTGGAGATGCTATTCCTGTTTTAACTCAAAGAAGAAAAATAACAGCAATAATATTTTTTATGACATTTATCATTATGATTTTAGGAATGTTACAATGAGATGGTCTAGTTTCAAATGGTAAAAATACTTATGCTGGTGGTGATATGTGAAATCTTGATGCAGATTATGGATTTAATAACAACAAAGGAACAAGTTGAATTCATAATTCAGCAATAACTGGTCATACTGATAGTACATATGAAACTGCATGAACATTTGGTGGTTGATATATGGGTACATTAGCTGCTTATTTTGTAATTGTTTCACTTATTATGGCAATTATTAACAAAACATCAGAAACAAAATATATTGAAACAATGGTTGATGGTGCAAAAGATATGATGGGTGTTTCATTAGCAATTGGAATTGCTGCTGCAATACCAGTTGTTTTGAAAAAAACAAATATGCAAACATTATTTGCAAATTGATTATCTTCAGGATTAAAAAGTGTTGAAAGTGGTAAATCAATTTTAACACCAGTTTTATCATATATATTGTTTATTCCATTAACATTTGTAATTCCTTCAACATCTGGTTTAGCAAATGCAACATTCCCAACTATTGGAACAAGTTTTGCAGAATTAGGACAAGAAGGAAAAGGATTAATTTCTGGAACTATAACTTCATATTCATGAGGTGCAGGATTAGCTAACTTAATTGTTCCTACATATGGTGTTGTTATTGGTGCTTTAGCTGTAACAAAGATTCCATATGATAAATTTGTTAAATGAATTATAAAACCAGTATTTATATTATTCTTATTAGGATTAATTATGACAATACTTGGTGGATCAATTGCAATGGCACAAGAAGGTACAGAAGGTACAAGAATATTTTAATTTTTAATTAAAGATATTTTTTAATAGAAAGTGAGATTTAAAAAGTCTCACTTTTTATTTTTAAATTATAAAAAAACAAAAAAAATAATAAAATATAATTATGAATAAGATAATATGTTCAAATTGTTATTTGTCTTTTAATAGAAATCAAGTTTCAATTTTTGAATTTAAATATAGAGGTATTATTTTTTGAATTATTTTTATATTATTTTTTCTATTAAGTATTTTCTTTCTTTTATTACCAAAAAATATAGAAAAAAGATATTTATGTTCAAATTGTAAAGTTTTATATATTTAAAAAAAATACTTAAATTATTTTTAATATAAAATAATAATAATTAGTATCATATTTACAATTTTAAAAAGTTGTATTTGGTACTGTAGCCAAGTGGTTAAGGCAGAAGTCTGCAAAACTTCTACGCGTTGGTTCGAATCCAATCAGTACCTCCATTTAATTTTTGGGCTTGTAGTTTAGTGGTAGAATACTTGACTTGCACTCAGGAGACGCCAGTTCAATTCTGGTCAGGTCCACCATTTTAATCTATTTATAATTTAATTTTATTAAATAATATTAATTAAATTGTGATATATTAATTTTATGGTACATATATTATAGTGGCAGTATACCAAGCTTTGCTTGGAGACCGCGGTCCGATTCCGCGTATGTACCACTTTTTATTTATTTAGTATAAATAAAAAGAATTTTATTTATTGATTATTGTTTTACCTATTTATTTAAATATAATATTTTACGGAAAGTAGCTTAGATGTATAAAGCACTCGGTTTGGGACCGAGAGATCGCAAGTTAGAGTCTTGTCTTTCCGACCATTTCAAAAATTTTTATTTTTAAATATAATTTAATGATTTAATATATTTAAAAAACATGAATTTTATTCAAAATAACAAACTATATTTTAAAATTATTAATTTAACATTAATAAAACAATTAAAAACATGAATTTTTATTTTAATAACTTTAATTTTATTTTCAATTGTATCACATATTCTTATAAAATATACTCCTACAAAAAATAATAAAATTATAAGTTTATATTTAATTAATATATTGTTTTCTTGATCATTTTTTTTAATATTAATTCTAAATTATTTTTTATTAACACCTATTATAATTTCAGTAAAAAAAATAACATTTATTTCAAAAAATTTAATTTCAAATAAGTTTAGAATTAAAAATATATTACCAATTTTTACATTTTTACCTATTTTAATTATTGTTTTTTTAATACAAACATTAATTATTTTTATATTACTTAAAACCTTTAATAAAGATACAACTGTTTTTTTAAATGTTATATCTAATCCATTGTTTTTTATTTTGTATTTTATTTATTTTTTTATAATATCTTTAATTTCATCTTTTTTTTATAATTGAATTTCAAAGAATTCAACATTAATTTTAGTATGTATTTTAATGCTTATTATGCCATTTGTTTTAATGTTTCTTTTTTCTTATTTGATTTTGAATATAAATGAAAAAGATGGTAATTATTATTGAATATATCATGTATTTTTTTATTTAATGCCAACTTATTCAATTAATGAATTAATTAATATTGTTATATTTTCAAATACAAATTATTGAATAAAATTAACAAAATTAGAGAAAGTAAAATATATTATTATGCCTATTGTTTGAATAATTGTTTTAATGTTTTTTACTTTTATAAAACCAATTGGAAGAAAAGATACAAAATGATTTTTTAAAAGTTTATTTAAAAAATATAAGTAAAAATTAAATATTATGGAAAATTTAATAAATAAAGAAAAAAATATTTTAATAGAAATAAAAAATTTATTTAAATATTCAGATAATAAAACAATATTAAATGATATTTCATTAAATATTTATAAAAATGATGTAATAGCAATAATTGGTGATAATGGTGCAGGTAAAACAACATTAATTAAAACAATTGTTGGAATGTATCCAATTGATAAAGGAAAAATAAATTATCATTTTAATTATAAAAATCATTTTAGTGAAAGAATGAGTTTATTATTTCAAGAACAAAATTTTATTAATTTTTTTAAAGTAAAAGATTTAATAAATCTTTTTAAAAATCAAATTAATCCTAAAAGAATTGAAATTATTAAAGAATTAAAAGAAATTTTAAGAATTAATGAAATATTTGATTTAAAAATGAAAGTACTTTCTGGTGGTCAAAAACAAAAAGTTGGTTTATTTTTAACGTTTTTAGAAAATTCAGATATTTTTTTATTAGATGAATTTTCAAATCATATTGATCCAGAAACAAAAGAAAAATTAAAGTTTTTTTTAAAAAAAATGAATAAAGAACATAAAATTACAATTTTAATTGTAACTCATGATATGCATAATGAAGTTGTTAACTTATGTAATAGAATTGTTTGAATTCATGATTCAAAAATTAAAAAAAATATAAAAATTGATACAGAAAAAACAAACTATCAAATGATAAAGGAATTACTTGAAATTTAATTATTATTTAAATTTTTATTTATTAAATTAAAAATAATATATAATATTTAATTAACTAGAAATATAAAAATAAATATTGTGCAAAGAAGATATATTTTTTCAGATAAATTAACAAATTTTTCAATTAAAAATTTAGAAAAAGATAAAGTAAAAAATCAAAATCTTAATGAAATAAGTTTAACAAGTTTTAATTTATTCTATAATTTTAAAATTAAAAAGATTTTTAAAGAAAATTTTCCTTTTATTTCAAAAAATGAAAATATAATTTTAAACTTAAAAAAAATTAAAATTGGTAAACCAGAAAAAACTTTTGAAGAAGTTAAAACAAAATTAGGTTCTTATCAATTTCCAATTAATTTAACTTTAGAATTAATTATTAATTATAAACAAGAGAAAATTAATTTTAAAATTTTTAAAAGTATTGAAGAAGCATTAATAAAATGATTAGAAGAGAAAATTTCTGTTTTAAAACCATCTTTATTTAAATCTAATAAAGAACAAACAGAATTTCATTTTATTGGTTTTTCATCAGATAAAACAGAAAAACTTGATATTCATATTATTTTAACTAAAAAAATGCAAGACTTTTTGTTTATTGATTTTAAAATTATTAAAGAAAAAACTATTTATTTTAATAGTTATCCAATGATTTCAGAAAAAGGTACATTTTTAATTAATGGTATTGAAAAAGTTGTTGTTTTGCAATTAACACGTGCTCCTGGTGTTTTTTATTCAAAAACAAATGTGATTGAAAATTTAGATACTTATGGTGCTGAAATAATTCCTAAAAAAGGTACATGAATTAATATTAATACAAAAATATATAAATCAAAAGATAAAGATTTAAATATTAATATTAGTCCATGTTTAGAAATAGTATTAAATAAAGTAAAAACAAATAATATATTAATTTCTAATTTATTTAATATTTTTGGTTTTGAAAAAGATTATATTTTAAGTTTATTTACTAATTCAGAATTATTATTAAATTCATATAAAGAAAATGTTTATGTTTTAAAAAGAGAAGATTCAATTAAAAAAACTTTTTCAAAATTAACAAATAGTTTAAGTGATTCATTAGAAAATAAATTTAAATTTATTTCTGATTCAATTTTTGGTGAAAAAAAATTCTTTTTACATAAAATTGGTCGTTATAAATTAAATCATAAATTATTTTTAGCAAATATGCTTTATAAACGTGTTTTGGCACAAGATTTAATTGATTCAAAAACAAATGAAATTTGTTTTACAAAAGGAACTTTAATTAATAAATCAAATTTACAAAAATTAAGAGATTTTTTTTTAAGAAACAATAATAATATTGTTACTTTAAAAAATAATAAAGATGTAAAAGTTCCAGGAAATAAAAAAATTCAAACAGTTAAAGTATATAAAAATAATTATTTACAAAATGAAGAAATTAATTTGATTGGTATTGATCCACAATGTAATGAAGAATTATTAAATATTGCAGATATTTTTGCAATTATTTCATATATTATTAATTTAGAATTTGGTGTAGGTTCATTAGATGATATTGATTCACTTGAAAATAGAAATGTTCATTTAATTGATGAATTATTAGAAGATGTATTTAACCAAGGTTTAAGAAAAGTTAGAGATGAAACTTTACAAAAATTAAATAATTTAACAATTTCTGATTTTAATGAAAAAATTGCTCGTTTAATTAATTCTGGACCTTTAATTAATGGTTCAAGAGAATTTTTTAATGTTTCACAATTATCACAATTTTTGGATCAAACAAATCCATTAACTGAACTTTCAAATAAAAGACGTGTTACTGTTTTAGGAGAAGGTGGTTTAAAAAGAGAGTCAGCTTCTGCAAAAGTTCGTGACGTTCATTATTCATATTTTGGAAAAATTTGTCCAATTGAAACACCAGAAGGTCCAAATATTGGTTTAATTATAAATCTTTCATTTTTTGCAAGAATTAATGAAAATAAATTTATTGAAACTCCATATTGAAAAGTTGTAGATGGTAAATTAACTGGTGAAATTGTTTATTTATCTGCTGTTGATGAAACAGATAAATTAATTGCTCCATCAATTACTGAAGTTGATAAAGATTTAAATATTATTGCTGATAAAGTAAGTATTTATTTCCATGATAATTTATTACAAGTAGATTCAAAAGAAATTGAATATCTTGGTTTTTCATCTGAACAAATGTTTTCAATTAGTACAGCAAATATTCCATTTTTGGAAAATAATGAAGCAAATCGTGCTTTAATGGGTGCTAACATGCAAAAACAAGCAGTTCCTGTAATTAATGCACATTCACCATTAATTGGAACAGGTACAGAAAGAATTATTGCAAGAGATTCAGGATTTTCAATTTTAGCAAAAGAAGATGGTATTGTTGAATATGTTGATTCGCAAATAATTAAAGTATTAGGTGATAAATCAAATAAAATTGTAGAATATATTTTGTATGATTTTTTACCATCAAACCAACAAACTGTTATTTTTCATCGTGCATTAGTAAAAAAAGGTGAAAAAATTAAAAAAAGACAAGTAATTGCAGATAGTTGTGCAATGGAAAATGGTGAATTAGCTTTAGGTAATGATTTATTAGTTGCATTTATGACATGAAAAGGTTATAACTATGAAGATGCATTAATTGTTTCAGATAGATTAGTACGTGATGATTTATTTACATCTATTCATATTGAAGAATATGAAATTCGTCGTTTAAGAACAAAATTAGGAAATGAAGAATTTACAAATGAAATTGTTAATACAAGTAAATATTCACGTCGTTTATTAGATGAAGATGGTATTGTTTTAGTTGGTTCTGAAGTTTTACCAGGTGATATTTTAGTTGGTAAAATTACTCCAAAAGCAAAAGAACAAAAAACTCCTGAAGATTTATTGTTAGATCAATTATTTAAAGGAAGAGAACATAATGTTGAAAATAATTCATTAGTTGTTCCAAATGGTGTTCGTGGAATTGTACAAAAAGTTGAAAGATTTAAAGAAGAAAATTTTGGTGAAAATATAACTGCAGAAGTAATTGAAATTATTAAAGTT